TGGTGAGCCCCGAGCGCCCAGAGACCCACAGGGACCCACAGGGACCCACAGGGACCCATAGGGACCAATAGCACCCATAGAAACCCATAGCACCCATAGCCACCCATGGCATCCATAGAGACCGATAGAAACCCAGAGACACTCAGAGACACCCATAGAGACCTAGAGATACCCATAGCACCAATAGAGACACCCATAGAGACCCATAGAGACTCATAGCACCCAGAGACACCCATAGGCACCCATAGCACCAATAGAGACACCCATAGAGACCCATAGCACCCATAGACACCCATAGATACGCATAGCAGCCTTAGATACCCATAGCACTCACAGACACTCATAGCATCTACAGACACCCATAGACACCCGCAGACGCCCATAGAGACCCATAGAGATCCATTGACTTCCACAGACTTCCACAGACACCCATAGCACCCATAGCCCCCATAGCACCCACAGATACCCCCTGAGCCTCCCCCCTCCCCTCCCAGCTCTATGGGGCCCCCATTGGCCCCCACTGGTGCTGATGGGGACGGGCGTCCCCCCCGGGGGCTCCCCCCCGCTGCCCCCCAGACGCGGTTCACTCCCTGACCTGTGCCCTGATGCTGCTCAACACCGACCTCCACGGGCAGGTGAGGAGCGGGGGGACCCCCGCGTGTGCCCCCCACGGCGGGGTGCGGGGTTCAGCCCCCCCACGCCCCCTGCCCTGCAGCGCCTCGGCCGCCCCATGAGCAGCGCCCAGTTCGTGGCCAACCTGCGCGGGATGATGGACGGGGAGGACTTCCCCCGGCAGCAGCTCCAGGTGCGGGGGGGACCGGGGGGGGGGGCACCGCTGGGCCCCCGGAGCCCCCCCCTGAGCCCCGGCTGCCCCCCAGGCTCTCTACGGCTCCATCCGCAGGCAGGAGCTGCCGTGGGCGCTGTGAGTGCGGGGCTATGGGGGGAGCGGGGGGGGGACGGACACGGGGGGGCCCCCCGTGATGCTGAGCCCCCCCCCGCAGGGATGATGAGGATGGGCAGGAGGAGGAGGCCCCCCCCGGCCCCAGGAGCAGCGAATCCCGGCCGGAGCTGCCGGGGGGGGCCGCGGCCGTCACCCACCGGGGCTGCTTGGCCAGGAAGGTGCTGGCCGAGGCCGGGGGCAGAAAGAGTGAGTGGGGAGGGGGGGTCCATGGGGCAGATTGGGGGGGGTTGGGGGTCCAGATGTGGGGTCCACTGGGGGGGCAGCTTTGGGGGCTCAGCCCGAAATGAATTCGGGGGAGGGGGGGGGTGATTTTGGGCTCCGCTGGGGTCCGCAGGGGCAGATTTGGGGGTGCCCATCTCGGGGGGGTCACAGCAGCCACGAGCGGCTCCATTGGGGTGTGGGGGGGGCACGATCCGGGGGGTTCCCCTCACCGGCTCCAGCCCCCCCCCCCCGTGCCCCCCAGCGCCGTGGGGCAGACGCGGCTGGAAGCGCTTCGAGGCGGTGCTGGAGGGGACCCTCCTGCAGCTGCGCAGGGCGGGGGCCCCCCCCGAGGCGCCGCTGGGGGTGCACCACGCTCTGGCCGAGCGCGCCCCCGCTTACACCAAGCGCCCCGACGTGTTCCGCCTGCGCGCGGCCGACGGGAGCCGCTTCCTCTTCCAAGCGCCGTGAGTTGGGGGGGGGGGGGGTCCCCGGTTTTGTGGGGGGGGGGGCGGCCCCGGTGACCCCCCCCCCGCCCCCCCCCCCGCCGCAGGACGCCCCGGGAGATGCTGGCCTGGATCGAGCGCCTCAACCTGGCGGCCGCGCTCCTCTCCGCGCCCCCGTTCCCCGCCGCCGTCGGGTCCCAGCGCGGCCCCGCGCGGCCCCTGCTGCCCGCGGCGCTCAGCCGCAGCCCCCCGGTGAGCACCGGGAAAGGGGGGGACGGGGACGGGAGGCCCCGGGGAGCCCCCCCCTGAGCCGGTGCCGCCGCAGGAGGAGCAGCGCCGGAGCCACGCGGCCTGGATGGAGCGGGTGGAGCGGGAGCTGCGGCAGCGGCAGCGCCACGGGCCCGGCCCCGACCCGCGGCAGCACCGGCGGGACACGGAGCTGCTGCTGCACGAGGTGAGGGCAGCGGCGCCGCTGGGGGGGGGCGCATCCAGCCCGGTCCTGGCCCGGGGCGGAGGTGGTGCTGCGGGGTACGGGGGTGCTGCGCCCATGGGGACACCGGGGCCACGGGGACACCGTTATGGCCATGGTGAGGTTGCTACGGGCATGGCAGCACCGGGGCCGTGGGGGCACCGATATTGCCCTTGGTGACACAGGGCCGTGGTGGCACCATTGTCCCCACGGTGACCCTGTTCTGGCCATGGTGGCACCATTGTGCCCATGGTGACCCTGTTGTGGCCATGGTGGCACCATTGTCCCCATGGTGACCCTGTTCTGGATGTGTTGGCACCATTGTCCCCACGGTGACCCTGTTCTGGATGTGTTGGCACCATTGTCCCCACGGTGACCCTGTTCTGGATGTGTTGGCACCATTGTCCCCACGGTGACCCTGTTCTGGATGTGTTGGCACCATTGTCCCCACGGTGACCCTGTTGTGGCCATGGTGGCTCCATTGTCCCCATGGTGACCCTGTTCTGGCCGTGGTGGCACCATTGTGCCCATGGTGACCCTGTTCTGGATGTGTTGGCACCATTGTCCCCACGGTGACCCTGTTGTGGCCATGGTGGCTCCATTGTCCCCACGGTGACCCTGTTGTGGCCATGGTGGCACCATTGTCCCCACGGTGACCCCGCTGTCCCCGCGCTGACCCCGTTGCGGTGCCCCCCCCGCAGCGCCGGCGCTACGAGACCTACGTGCGGGTGCTGGACTCGTGGCTCCGCGGCCGGGCCGAGCCGGGCTGGGAGGCGGAGGCGGAGCCGGGAGCGGCCCCCCGGGCCCCCCCCGCGCTGAGCAGGGCGCGCTCCAGCCCCTCCCTGGGCCCCGGCCCCGCCGCGGCCCCCCCGCCCGCGTCCGCAGGAACGAGTCCGAGCGGGGAACGCTGCGGAGCCTCGTGGGCCGGCGGCTGCGGGAGCGGCCCTGAGCGGGGGGGGCACGGGGGGAGCGGTGCGGGAATGGGGGGGAGTGGGATGGGAATGGGGGGGGAGCAGTGTGGGAATGGGGGGGAGAGGTGCGGGAATGGAGGGGAGTGGGATGGGAATGGGGGGGAGCAGTGTGGGAATGGGGGGGGAGTGGGATGGGAATGGGGGGGGAGCAGTGTGGGAATGGGGGGGAGTGGGATGGGAACGGGGGGGAGCAGTGTGGGAATGGGGGGGAGTGGGATGGGAATGGGGGGGGAGCAGTGTGGGAATGGGGGGGAGAGGTGCGGGAATGGAGGGGGGAGAGGGACGGGAACGGGGGGGAGCGGTGTGGGAATGGGGGGAGCGAGTGGGACGGGAATGGGGGAAGCAGGACAGGAATGGGGGGGAGCAAGACGGGAATGGGGGGGAAGCGGTACGAGCGGCCCTCGGGCACCACCAGCACTTGGGGGGGGGGGGGGGCTTGGGAGCAATGTGGGAAACTCAGGGAGACCCCCCCAAAACGGACGGGGGTCACAGTTCCCCCCCCCCCCCCCCGCTGCTGCTGCAATAAAGGTTTGTGACCAGCATGGCCCCTCCGTGTCCCCAAATGACCCGAGGGGGGGGACACAGACATGGGGGGGGGTGGGGGGCAGGTGTAGACAGGGGGGTAACAATCGTGTCACCCATAGAGAAAAACCTCTTCTGGGGGGGGGGGGGAATCCAGTCATTGGATGGATCCAGACCCCCCGCACCCTTTCCCATGATCCAACGGCTTTAAGGTGGGGATTCACATTTATATGGGATATTTGGGGTCAGTTCCTAAGGGGGGGTTAAAAGCAGGGTTGCAGGAGGGGTGCACCCCATTAATGCTGCCACAGGGACAGCCCCTATTGGGGTTCCTGAAGGTGGGAAGTGAAACGGGATCCCGGGAGGGGGGTACGGCTGCGGCTGGGCCATGAGCCCCCCTCGGGCCAGAATCTGGCGGGATGAAGCCCAGGAACACCAGCACGGTGAAAACCCATCCCATGGATGCTTATGGGGAGCAAGGGGGTTATGGGGGTCACAGTGGGCAATGTGGGATTAGGGGGATCAGTGAAGGGTTTTGAGGGGCAATGGGGAGTTCTGGGGGACCACGGGGTGTGGACAGGGGGGTTATGGAGCCAGGCTGAGGACACTGGGGCTGTTCAGCCTAGAGAGGAGAAGCTGCTGGAGACCTCAGAGCAGCTTCCAGTGTGTGAAGGGGGCTACAAGGATGCTGGAGAGGGGCTCTTCATCAGGGACTATAGGGATGGGGCAAGGGGTGATGGGTTCAGACTGAAACGGGGGGAGTTCAGGTTGGAGATAAGGAAGAAGTGATTTATGTGAGGGTGGTGGAGCCAGGGCAGAAAACTGCTGCTGGGCATCACCTACACACAGCACCCTCCCCAGCAGCGCTATGGCAATGCATCCATGCTTTGCCACCCAAACCTACCTCTGTGCTACTCCTCCATGGCTCACAGGGTGCAGACCTCCAGCCCTGCTCCCAGTCCCAAAGCACCCGTACAGGGAGTGCTGCTGGGGAGCCCTTACAGCTGGACTCCTCCGGAATGCTGCCAGCAGCGGCTTAAACCACACCAGGCACCCAGAGCCCCACTGGTGCAGCACCCGAGTGCTGGGTGCCCTCGAGGGTGCTGGAGCACGCAAGCATCCAGCCCCTGCTCCCACAAGGTGAAGAACCAGGATGGAAACCAGGAGCGGGGCATGGTCCTGCCCCTGCTGCCTTCCAGAACAGCGCCTGCAGCATCGACATCCTCCCCTCCTGACCCACCTGCACCTCCCTCTGTGCAGAGCCTCCCTGGACAGGGCTCTCCAGGGCCCCACAAAGCAAAGTGATGCTAAACCTCAGGGCCCCAGAGAAGCTGTGGCTGCCCCATCCCTGGCAGTGCTCAAGGCCAGGTTGGACACAGGGGCTTGGAGCAAGCTGCTCTAGGGGAAGGTGTCCCTGCCCGTGGCAGGGGTTGGAGCTGGAGGAGCTTTAAGGTCCCTTCCAACCCAACCCAGGCTGGGGCTCTGGAGGGCAGTGTACGGGCAGGGGTTTACATGGGGCAATAATCACACACACCCCCCCTTTCCCCAGCACAAAGCCAGGCTCCACACAGCTCTTGCACCCCCTTTATTCCCCCCAAGCGGGGCTGGGGGAGCCCATCCCCGGTTCCCACCTCGCTCCCGGTAGGAAGCGATGCCCCGGGCCCGAGTGAGGGGGGGGTTTGTGCAGGAACCCCGAGTGCTTGTGCCCGGATGGGGACGCTCGAGGCCCCTCCTGCAGCTCAGAATCCCAAACTTCTCCAGGCAGAGGCCGGCAGGCTCCCGTTGAGGGGCTGCAGGGGCCGATTCCCCCCCTTCGGAGCCTCTCCAGGCGCAGGCAGCGCTTCCCGGAGCCGGTTTCATGCCCCAGCCGGAGCCCCGGAGCGTGGCCGGAGCTCTTGCATAGCTGCTGCGGGTGCAGGGAGCGGGGGAAAGGGACGAGCTGGGCTAAACAGCAACAAAACAGGGAATAAAAGCATGAGAGGGATGGATGGGAACCTACACGGAGCGACGTTCCAGTCCCAAACCTCCTTCTCTAAGCCCTCCGCGGATCCAGGCTCGAGGACGGCAGCGCTGCGGTGCTTGGGTTGATGTGTCCCTGGGGGGGCCTTTGGCTGCTTGAATTGCTTCAAACAGCCCCAAAATCCTGCTCCATCCCTGCAGCGACCTCCTCCTCCAGGCCTGGCGCTGCCGGGCTCGGTTTTCCCCTCGGCTCTCCGGTGCTGCCAGGGAGGCGCTGGCTCCAGGGCCGGCGCTCCTCAGTGTTCGTGCTGGGAACCGGGATCATCAGCGAAGAGCGGGGCACGGAAACACCGAGAGCAATGGAAGTGGGGGCAAAAAGCAGGAGTTTGGCTGGCGGGGGGGGCGGGATCTTGCATAAAACCACGGGCAGAGGCCGCTTTCCCAGCCAGGAGCCGGCGCTGTGCCCAAATGTGGGTTAAACCCCCCCCGATCGGCTCAATGGGGGGGGGGGAACGGGATAAAAGCTGCCCCCAGACCTGCTGCGGGGGGGCAAAGAGCTTCTGGGGGTGATAAGTCCCATGTGTCGGTCCCGAATCCGTCCCCATCCCACCCGGAGCCTGAACTAAAGTGCAAACCAGGGAGCGGTGGCGGCGGTGGTGGTGCGGGTCGGGCTCCATCCCGCAGTGCTGGGGTAGAGATCCCGATGAACCGCTGTAAATAGAGACACCGGTGACGGGATGGCTCGGAGGAGGGGGGGGGACCGGAGCTCAGCGGGGTGCGGGATTCCCTCCTTCCCTCCGCGGGAGAGCTCCAAGGGGATAAAACCCCGGGAAGGAGCCGCCCCGACGCTCCTTCCACCAAGAGGGTTCCAAATCGGAGTCCATGGAAGAGATGGGAGGAGGACACGGATGGGCTGAGCCGACAAGGTCCTTCCTCTGGGGCAGGGCAGGGCCGAGGGGGGAAGAGTGATGGAGTTGGGGGTGCGGATGGAGGGGGGGGGCAGAGGAAGCGGCGCCGGGCTCAGGGGGTGTAAGCCGGCGGCGGTTGGAACTGGTTGATGACCTCGTACTCGGCGGGGTAGGGTTCGTTCTCCTCCATCTCGGAGAGCAGCTCCAGGGCCTGCTCCTCCTCCTCGGTGGGGTAATGGCGCAGGAGGTTGGCGGCCGTGGCCAGGATGGAGGCGCCGCCGGCGCCCGCCACCAGGTAGAAGCTGACGGCGAAGGTGACGTAGACCTGGGAGCCGTGGTACTTCTTGTGCTGCTGCTGCTGCGCCAGGATGAGCTCCGAGGCCCAGTAGCAGAACCCGATGACGGTGGCGCACTGCAGGACTGCGGGGGGGGAGAGCAGAGACCCTGAGCGAGCCCCGGGGGCAGAGCTGGGGATGCTCCAGATCCATCGGGATAGGGGGGGAAATGCAGGAGGAGCACAGCGGGAGGTGGGTTAGGGTCGGAAAGGGGGCTCTATGGGAGCTCAGAGGAGCAGCAGGGATGAATCATTGCTCCATGGGGAAGGGGGATGAGCTGCTCAGGGCTCAGCTGGGAATTCCAGCAGGGATAAGGGATATTAAAGCTCCTTTGACCTCTGGAGTCAGAAACATAGGGCCTTTCTCCCCTGAGAGGCTCTAGGACACCTCTTTAAGGACTAAGACCCACCAAGGGACGCTTAATGTTCACCCCTAACCATCCCCACCAAGATTTAACTCCATTATCACCACGGAAGGTGAAACCCAGTGCAGGGGCGGCCCTGTAGGACGGGAAGCACAGCAAGGATCCAAGGCATGGAAAACACCCTCTGGGGGCTTTTCTTCCATCCTTTGAAGGTCCGGGATGGAAACCCAGCCCAGCACGGGCTGCTCCTGCAGGGATTTACCTGTGAGGATGTGAGCGAACGCGTAGCGCCGGGTGATCTTCAGCGCCGGGTGCTTGGGTCCGAAGACATCCAGGAGGAAAGCGGAGAGGCTGCAGATGATTCCCAGGAAGCAGAAGGCGGCGATGACCCGGAGCAGCAGCACGGTCTGCGGGTTCATGCAGTAATCTGCGAGGGGAGGGAGAGAGGCAGGGGCTGAGCACCACAGAACGCTGCTTTTCCACCCAAACCCCGCACGGGGCAGAGCGCTGCGTGGGGCAGTGACAGGCGGGAGGGAAGGGAGGGGATCCAAAGGGACCTTGCTCCTGGGGAAGGGCAATCCCCAGCACAGACACAGCCTGGGGGAGCCTGGAGAGGAGAAGGACTTGGGGGTGTTGGGTGAGGAGAAGTTCCCCATGAGACGGCTTCAGTGAGCGCTTGAGCCCAGAACCCCCCCAAGTGCTGGGCTGCACCCCCAGAGCGTGAGCAGCAGCTCAGGGAGGGGATCCTGCCCCTCTACTCTTGTGAGCCCCCCCTGCAGCCCTGTGTGCAGTGCTGGGGTCCCCAGCATGAGGACATGGAGCTGGTGGAGGGAGGCCAGAGGAGGCCATGGAGATGCTGCAAGGGCTGGAGCAGCTCTGCTCTGGAGCCAGGCTGAGAGAGCTGGGCTGGGGCAGCCTGGAGAAGAGAAGGCTCCTGAAGGGGAGACCTGAGAGCAGCTCCAGTGCCTGAAGGGGCTGCAGGAAAGCTGGAGAGGGGCTTGGGACAAGGGATGGAGGGACAGGCCAAGGGGAATGGCTTGAACCTGCCAGAGGGGAGACTGAGATGAGCTCTGGGGCAGAAGCTCTTCCCTGTGAGGGTGCTGAGGCGCTGGCACAGGGTGCCCAGAGAAGCTGTGGCTGCCCCATCCCTGGCAGTGCTCAAGGCCAGGTTGGACACAGGGGCTTGGAGCAAGCTGCTCCAGTGGAAGGGGTCCCTGCCCGTGGCAGGGGCTGGAGCTGGAGGAGCTTTAAGCTCCCGTCCATCCCAAGCCTCCCCCCGGTTCCACGCCTCGGTCACCCAGCAGCTCGCGTTAGGATCAATGGATTCGTGCTTCTCCCGTTGCCCTCGGGCTCAGCCAGCACCGGAGCGGCCCGGGCAGGGGCCGAAGCCTCAAGGGAGGTACCGGAGGACCCCGCGGGAGGGGGGACGCGCTCCATGCCCGGCCTCACCTCGGAGCAGCTCGGGGTCAACGTAACCCAGGACATCGGCGACGCCGAGCTCCTGCCGGGCGCACGTCCCGCCGTGGATGCGGAGCCAGGCGGGCTCGGCCAGCGCCGTGCAGAGCGCGGTGATGGAGAGGGCGCCGGGCAGCGCCGAGGCCAGGCTCCGCTCCGGCTGCTTCGGGAGCCCCCCGCCCGCCGCCCCCCGGCGCCGCCGCCCGCCGGGCAGCCCCGGCCCGCCCGGGGTGTACATGGGGCCCGAAGCCGCCTCTCCGCCTCAGCGCCCGCCGCTTCCGCCCCACCGCGGACCGGTCCGCATCCGGGGCGCGCTGACGCCACATCCGGAGCGCGGCCATGAAGGAGGCGCTGGAGCTGCTGTGCCGGATCCCCGCGCACCCCGAGTCCCGGTGCTGGTTCCTGGCCTGGAGCCCCGGGGGGGGCCTCCTGGCGTCGTGCGGCGGGGACCGGACGGTGCGAGTGTGGGGCAGGGAAGGTGAGAGGGGGAGCCGGGAGGGGCGGGGCCGGGGGCGAGAGGGGGCGGGGTCTGTAGTTGGTGGGCGGGGCCAAACGGGGAGTGCGGGGCTTAACGGGAGGAACGGGTCCGGGGCCGCGAGGGGGCGGGGCTTAACGGGAGGGGCGGGGACAGATCGGCGAGGGGGCGGGGTCTATAGTTGGCGTGCGGGGCCAAACGGGAGGGGCAGGGACAGAGGTGCGAGGGGGCGGGGTCTATAGTTGGTGGGCTGGGCCAAACGGGGAGGGCGGGGCTTAACGGGAGGGACGGGGCCGGGGGCGCGAGGGGCGGGGTCATTAGTTGGCGGGCGGGGCCAAAAGGTGGGGAGGGGCTTAACGGGAGGGGCGGGGGCAGATCGGTGAGGGGGCGGGGTCTATAGTTGGTGGGCGGGGCCAAACTGGGGGGCTTAAAGGGAGGGGCGTGATCAGGGGGGAGGAAGGGATTAGGACAGAGGAGGGATTAGGGCGGGGCTGCGGAGAGGGGGCGGGGCTATGATTGATGGGGCGGGGATGAGGAGGAGGCGGAGCCAGAAGGGAACGTGGGAGGAGCTTTGATTGGGGGCGTGACCAGGAGATGCGATGAAGACGGGGTTGAGGGGCGTGGCTGGGAGGAAGAGGGCGGGGCTATAATTGGTGGGCGGGGCTGAAATGGAGGCGGAGTCAGAGGGGAACGTGGGAGGAGCTTTGATTGGGGGCGTGGCCAGGGGATGCAATGAGGGCAGGGTTGAGGGAAAGGGGGCGTGGCTGGGAGAAAGAAGGCGGGGCTATGATTGGTGGGCGGGGAATAGTCGGTGGGGTTGAGAGGGAGGGGGAGCCAGAGGGGAACGTGGGAGGAGCTTTGATTGGGGGCGTGACCAGTAGGTGCGATGAGGGCGGGGTTGAGGGGAAGGGGCCGTGGCTGGGAGAAAGAGGGCGGGGCTATGATTGGTGGGCGGGTCTGAAATGGAGGCGGAGCCAGAGGGGAACGTGGGAGGAGCTTTGATTGGGGGCGTGGCCAGGTGATGCAATGAGGGTTGAGGAGAAGGGGATGTGGATGGAAGAAAGAGGGCGGGGCTATGATTGGTGGGCGGGGCTGAGAAGGAGGAGGGGCCAGAGGGAGCATGGGAGGAGCTTTGATTGGGGGCGTGACCAGGCGATGCAATGAGGGCAGGGTTGATGGAAAGGGGGCGTGGCTGGGAGAAAGAGGGCGTGGCCAGGCGGAGCGATGATGGCGGGGTGGGGGCGTGGCCAGCCCAGGGGGCGTGGCCGTGACGTCATGCGCGCTGTGCCCGCAGGGTCGGGCTGGTCGTGCCGCGCCGTGCTGGGCGAGGGGCACCAGCGCACGGTGCGCAGGGTGGCCTGGTCCCCCTGCGGCACTTACCTGGCCTCCGCCAGCTTCGACGCCACCACCTGCATCTGGAAGAAGCAAGAGGATGGCTTCGAGGTGGGGCACCCCCTCCTGGCCCCCAAAACCTTCCTCTGCCCCCCAGCTTCCCCCACTGAGGCCCCCGATCTCCACCCCGTGCCCCACAACAACCCCCGCGTGAGCACAGACACCCTCCCGTGACCCACAGCATCCCTCTGTACCCCCCAATAGACCTCCCTGTGCTTCCCAACCCTGCCCTGTGACCCCAGCATCCTTTTGTGTTCTCCAACCCATGCCCTACAATGCCCCCCCATGCACCCCAACATCCCCCATGCTCCCCAAGCCCCCCAGTCCCACCCCATGTCCTCCAATGCCCCCCCTGAGCATCCCCACATCTCCCATGCTCCCCCCAAGCCCCCCACTCCCACCCCATGCCCCCCAACACCCTCCCTGAGCACCCCAACATCCTCCAAGGCCCCAGTCCCACCCCATATCCCTCAATACCCCCCTGAGCACCCCAACATCCCCCATGCTCCCCAAGCCCCCAGTCCCCCCCCGTGCCCCCCAATGCCCCTCCTCTCCGCTGTCCTGTGCCCCGCAGTGCATCACGACGCTGGAGGGCCACGAGAACGAGGTGAAGTCGGTGGCCTGGGCTCCCTCGGGCACCCTCCTGGCCACCTGCAGCCGGGACAAAAGCGTCTGGGTCTGGGAAGGTGAGGGGAGAGCAGGGGGTTGTGGGGGGACCCCAGCCCCGGGTTGTGTCACTGCCTCAGCCTCCGCTCCGCAGTGGATGAGGAGGAGGAGTACGAGTGCGTCAGCGTCCTCAACTCGCACACGCAGGACGTCAAGCACGTGGTGTGGCACCCAAACCAGGAGGTACGAGCGCCGTGGCCAACGCAGGCCCTGTCCCAGTGCTGGGAATGTCCCCATGGCTCCCAGCAAGGGGGAAGAGCAGGAACGGAGGGGAAGAAAAGTGGGATGGGATCTGGCTGGACATTGAGGCGGGAATGGAGGCATGAGGTTCAGTGGGGCAAAGGGCTCACAACAACCCCTGCAACGCTCCAGGCTTAGGGAATTGTGGCAGGAAACTGCTGATGGGAAAGGGGCTGGGGGTGCTGAGTGATGGAGCTGAACACGAGCAGCTTGTGCCCAGGCAGCCCCCAGCATCCTGGCCTGGAGCAGCACCAGTGCGGCAGCAGGGCCAGGGCAGGGATTGTGCCCCTGCACTGGGCACTGGTGAGGCCGCACCTCAAATCCTGTGTTCAGCTCTGGGCCCCTCACTACAACAGAGACATTGAGGGGCTGGAGTGGGGCCAGAGAAGGGCAATGGGGCTGGAGCAGGGCCTGGAGCACAGGGGTGATGGGGAAGGGCTGAGGGACCTGGGGGGGTCAGATGGAGAAGAGAAGGCTCAGGGGGGACCTGATGGCTCCCTCCAACTGCCTGAGAGGAGGATGGAGCCAGGAGGGGCTGGGCTCTGCTCCCAAGGAACAAGGGACGGGAGAAGAGGAAACGGCCTCAAGCTGCCCCAGGGCAGGTTTAGATGGAGCTGAGGAACAATTCCTGCCCCGGAGGGTGCTCAGGCATTGGAACAGGCTGCCCAGGGCAGGGCTGCAGTCACCGTCCCTGCAGTGCTCACACACCCTCAGTGCCATGGGTCAGTGGTGGCCGTGGCAGTGCTGGGTAAGGGTTGGAGCGGGTGACCCTGAAGCTGTTTCCCATGGTTGCGTTGCGTGGCTCAGCTCCTGGCCTCGGCCAGCTATGACGACACGGTGAAGCTGTACCGGGAGGAGGAGGATGACTGGGTGTGCTGCGCCACGCTGGAGGGGCACCAATCCACCGTGTGGAGCGTGGCCTTCGACCGCAGCGGCGAGCGCCTGGCGTCCTGCAGCGACGACCGCACCGTGCGCGTGTGGCAGCGGTACCGGCCCGGCAACCAGCACGGTGAGCACCGGGTACCGAGGGGCTGGGGACAGAGCGGAGAGAAGGGAAAGGGCAGGGAAGGGGAAGGAGGAGCACATGGGAAGGGAAGGGAAGGGAAAAGAGAAGGGGGGGGGGAAGAGGAAGAGGAAGAGGAAGAGGAAGGAAGGGGGAGGAAAAAGGAAGAGAAGTGTAAGAGCAAGCAGAAAAGAGCAGGCAGGGAAGGGAAAAGAAGAGGGAAAAGAAGAGGGAAAAGGGTGGGAAGGGAGGGATGAAGAGCAGGCAGGGATAGAAAAGAGATGTAGGGAGGGGAAAACAGTGGGAAGGGAAGGGATGGGCAGGGAAGAGGAAGGGCAAGAGCAAGCAGGAAAGGGAAGAGCAGGGAAGAGGAAGGAAAAGAGCAAGCAGGAAAGGGAGGAGGAGAGAGGGAAGGGAAGGGAAGGGAAGGGAGAAAAGGCAAGGGAAGAGGAAGAGGAAGGAAGGGGGAGGAAAAAGGAAGAGAAGTGTAAGAGCAAGCAGAAAAGGAGCAGGGAAGAGGAAGGAAAAGAGCAAGCAGGAAAGGGAAGAGCAGGGAAGGGGAAGGAGGAGCAGACAGGGAAAGGAAAGGGAAGGGAAGGGAGAAAAGGCGAGGGAAGAGGAAGGAAGGGGGAGGAAAAAGGAAGTAGAAGAGCAAGCAGAAAAGAGCAGGCATGGAAGGGAAAAGAAGGAAAAGAACAGGGACAAGGGTGGGAAGGGAGGGATGAAGAGCAGGCAGGGATAGAAAAGAGATGGTAGGGAGGGGAAAAGAGTGGGAAGGGAAGGGATGGGCAGGGAAGAGGAAGGGCAAGAGCAAGCAGGGAAGGACATAAAGCAGGCAGGGAGGGAAAGGGCAGGAGGAAAGGGCTATAGGGTGGGCAGGGAGGGGAAGGAGCAGGGAGCTGAGGTCGCGCTCCCACCTGGCAGGGGTGGCCTGCAGCGGCGCGGAGCCCACGTGGAAGTGCATCTGCAACCTCTCCGGGTACCACACGAGGACCATCTACGACGTGGCCTGGTGAGCGCCGCCGCGGCCGCATCCCCGCGGCTCCATCCCTGCCCCTGCGCCGCGCTGACACCGACCCTGCCCCGCAGGTGCCACCTCACCGGGGCGCTGGCCACGGCGTGCGGCGACGACGCCATCCGCGTGTTCGAGGAGGGCGCGGGGCAGGAGCCCAGCTTCAGCCTGGCCGCGCACGCACCGCGGGCCCACGCGCAGGACGTCAACTGCGTGGCCTGGAGCCCCACGGAGCCCGGGCTGCTGGCGTCGTGCGGCGACGACGGTGACATCGCCTTCTGGAGGTACCAGCGCCCCGAGGGCTGCTGAGCACGGCCCCGGCTTGGGGTGTGCCGGGGATGGGGTCCGGGTCTGCTCCATGCTCAATAAATCATGGATCACGGAATGGTTTGGGATGGGAAGGACATTAACATCAGCCAGCTCCAACCCCTGCCACGGGCAGGGACCCCTTCCACTGGAGCAGCTTGCTCCAAGCCCCTGTGTCCAACCTGGCCTTGAACACTGCCAGGGATGGGGCAGCCACAGCTTCTCTGGGCACCCTGTGCCAGTGCCTCAGCACCCTCACATAAATCACTTCTTCCTTATCTCCAACCTGAACTTCCCATTTCAGTCTGAACCCATCACCCCTTGTCCCATCCCTACAGTCCCTGATGAAGAGCCCCTCTCCAGCATCCTTGTAGCCCCCTTCACACACTGGAAGCTGTTCTGAGCTCTCCACACAGCTTCTCTTCTCCAGCCCCAACGTTCTCAGCCTGGCTCCATACGGGAGCTGCTCCAGCCCCTGAGCATCTCCATGGCCTCCTCTGGACTCGCTCCACCAGCTCCGTGTCCTGATGCTGGGGACCCCAGCACTGCACACAGGGCTGCAGGGGGGTCTCCCCAGAGCGCAGCAGAGGGGCAGGATCCCCTCCCTGAGCTGCTGCTCACGCTCTGGGGGTGCAGCCCAGCACTGGGGGGGTTCTGGGCTCAAGCGCTCACTGAAGCTGGGTCATGGGGAGCTTCTCCTCACCCAACACCCCCAAGTCCTTGAGCCTGGCACCGGGCTCCAGTCCATGTTGCCAAAGCTTCCATCTCCTTTCCATGCCGGCAGCCCCTGGGTGAGTGGCACAGGGGGGACGTGGTGGCACCACTGCCGAAGCACAGCTCCCATCCGAGCTCTGCCTTCAGCAGTCCTCACTGATCTTGTTTGAGCCTCCCACCGAAGGCTCAGAGCTGGGGGCAGCCTCAGGGCCGTGCCTGCTCCCTCTTCCCAGCCCAGACCCAGCACAAAGGGCGAGGTGGGGCTCAAGGTTTATTCCAGGCTAAAACCCCACTGTACAAAGCATCATCTCCATAGAAAATGAAACAAATCCAAGGAAAACACAGGGAAGACACACGGGGGGGTGACAAGGGGTTGGGGGGGGCACAACTTGGGGGGCTCCTCGCCCCACATCAGTCAGAGTCGCTCTCGCTCTCGGCCTCCTTCACGTCCACGCTGAACTTGTACTCCTGGTCGCAGCCCATGTAGGCATCACTCATGAAATACAAGGTGTAGTTGTGGGTCCCCGTGGCCGGAGCCACGAAATCCAACTTCACCTGCACGGGGAGGAGAGGCGGTGTTGGGGTGGCCATGGGGAGAGCCCGCACCCCCCAAAAGCGTGGGGCTGTGGCTGCCCCCAGCCCCGGCCCCATCACCCCCTCACCTTGGCTTTCTGCTGCAGCGTCAAGCGCTTGATGGAGATGAGGCTGTTGGATTTGGAGTCGCCGATCACCACCCACCAGCCCTCCTCGCGTTTCTGAGGGAGGCACAGAGTTAACGGGGTGGGGACAGCAGGGGACACCCCCATGGCTTCTGCCCCCCCCCCCCCCCCCCCCCAAGGCACCAGGGTTGGGGTTCAGCCCATACCTGTGGGAACAGGGGAGCGATGACGGGCCCCGTGACCTCCTCCTCACGCTCCAGCTGCACCAGCACCACCACAGGCCCCCCACTGCATGGACAGACCCAAGGGCCGCGGTGAGGGCGGCTCCCAGCACCAGCACAGCACCGAGGGGGCCCTCCCTGCTGCCCCCAGCCCCAGCCTCACCTCCGGATGCTCTCCTTCTCCACCACCTCGTAGGAGAGCTCGATGTTGGGGTAGCGGTTGCAGAAGCGGGCGACGTCGGCGATCTGCACGTCCGAGAGCTGCAGCAGCGCGTTGCGGTCCTCGTCCTCCATCTCCATGATGTCAAACACGCTCTCCACGCCCTGCAAGGACCGGAGGCTTTCAGCCCTGAGCTCCCCCTCCCCACCCCAGAGCAAAGGGAGGACCACGGTGCCTCCCCTCCAGCTTTACCTTGTCCGTGCAGCGCTTGATGTGCTCGGAGGTGAAGTGAGGCAGCTGCTTGAGGTAGGAATCCTTGGACCACATGGCCTGGGTCACCATCTGCGCCAGCTCCATGGCGGCCAGCGCGGGGCTGAGCCACCCATTGCTGGAGAGCACATCCACACAGGCCTGGATCAGCCGGATGGCCTGGGAAAGAAGGGATGGGGACGGGTCAAGGAGGTGGTGATGCCGCAGCGGGTGACACGGGAAGGGGGGGACACACGGACGTGGGATCCCCGTTGTACCTTGCTGAGGATCTCCTCGGTGTCCGACTGCAGCTCGGCGCTCAGCTGCATGCGTGACAAGTGAGCCTGCAGCAGCAGGTTGGTCTTGATGTGGGGATCGTTGAACTTGGGGTTGGGCAGTTTGTGGGGAACCTTTTGGGCCAGCTACAGGGAGGAACGAGGAAGCTGTCAGTGGGGACCAGCACCCTGGGCTCTCCCTGCCCCAGCGCCCGGGCCCCCGGTGCTGGCACTTCACCTGCCGCAGCAAGTTGTCCTCATGGTGCCGGATGGGGATGTTCTCGTACTCGGCAGCGCTGGAGATGATCTCAATGAGCCCTCGCACCTTGGTCTTGGCGTTGAGGGACATGCTGAAGAGCTCTGGGGAAGCCAGGCAGGGAGAGGGGTAAGGGAAAGCAGAGAGCATCAAACCCTCTGGTGTAAAGGGTGCCTCCAAGGCAAGCTTCGCGCACCCAGCCACGCACGCAGCACCTTCTCCCCATCGCCCGTGGCACAGGGAGCGATGCAGATGGTCCCTGCCCCTCAGGAGCCCTCACCGATGGTGGTGTAGTTGATGTAGTAGTAGGCAGCGATCATCCCCAGGTTCAGAGGGGCCACGTCCATCTCGTCCTCGATGCTGATGCACTTGGACTGCTCCAGGTCGCTGAGGGTCTGTTCCACCAGCTCCGAGAGGTGATCCGAGAGGTGCCTGTGGGACACACCTGGGGGTGCAGCAGCGTCGGGATGGGGATCAGAAACAGCCCAGGATGGAGAGAAACCGCTCGAGGGAAAGCAGAGCCCAGAGGCCAGGATCCTCCAACCCCATATCATGGAATCACAGAGTGGTTTGTGCTGGAAAGGACCTTAAAGCTCCTCCAGCTCCAACCCCTGCCATGGGCAGGGACACCTTCCACTGGAGCACCTTGCTTCAAGCCCCTGTGTTCACCCTGGCCTTGAACACTCCATGAGCTCCATGTCCTTCTTGTGGTGCTGCCCCACATGCACGCACTGGGGTGGGTCTCAGCCTGTGTTTGTGTGGGGGACGTCCCCAACATAGGGGCAGGTTTTGGTGGCTCTGATGGAACACGAACGCCGGTGCAGAGCCCTCTGCTCACCCTGCAGGTTGTAGTAGTTGGGGTTCTGCGTCATCCTGCGGTACAGGAAGGTCCAGGTGAGATAATCCACTGCATCCTGCTTGTTTTCAATGGTCTTGGTGACAATCTCGGCGTTGAAGTGGTCGTGCATGCAGTGGTCCAAGTGGGACTCCACGGGCAGGGGCTCATAGAGGAACTTCTTGAAGAAATCCTGCATTGGGGCAGGAGCAGAGGGAACTGGTGAAGAACCCCCAGGCAGCAGAGCTCCGGGGTTATCCATCAGCCTGTGAGGAGCAATCCCTGCCCCAAGCAGGTGATGGATGCCCACAGGCCAGGAACTCACCTTCTTGGAGCCCTGGCACATGATGACACAACGGCCCTCGTCGTCCTGCAGCGGGCGGTTCGCGTGTCCCACCATCTGCAGCACGTCATAGATGGGGTAATCCACGTACCTGGGACACAGGGAGCGTTAATGCAGCTCCACGGAAGGCTGCCACCACCACAGCCATTCCCAGCCTAAGCCTGGATGAGGATGGAGCCCTTTGGGATGCAGGGGGGGGGTCACGCTCAGCAGGGTGGACGCAGGGGGAAACCTCACGAGCACTCACGCGTGGATCTTGCCGTTGTAGTACTGCGTGTCCATGATGATGACGAGGTGAGCAGCGATGTTCATGCCCCAGCAGAGGCTGCGGGAGGCCACCATGACCTGCACTGCACCTGAAGAGCAGGGGGAGAGCGCTCAGAGCGATGCTGGGGGGGGGGGGCCAGGAACCAGAGGGGTTCAGTGCTCGAGCAGATGGGTCTCAGGAAGGATCCCCCCCCATCCCAAGCTGCTGCTTCTGCCCTGGGGGGGGCTCTGGGCTCCCATGCACACTGTGCTGTGTCCCCATCCCACCCCCCTCACCAGAGCTGAAGAGCTGCTCCACCACGCGCCGCTCCACGGCCGTCAGCCCCTCGTGCAGGTAGCCCACGCCGTTCACCAGCGTCTCCTTCAGGGTGTTGTCATTCAGCTTGTCCAGGTAGGACACCAGATCCTTCTCTGCGCAGTGCAGGAACCTGCCCGAGACGGGGGAGCAGAGACACCCCTGCCAGGCCCTGCAAGCCCCTTGCCCCAAGGCCATTGCCCCTCAGCCCAACAAACAGCCCCAGAACCCTTCCTCAGAGGCCCCAGCATCGCTACCTTTGCCTCTGGATGTCGGAGGCGCACGTGGTGAGGATGTTGATGGCCGTGAGCCGCGTCTGCTTGCGCGACGGCACGAAGACGATGACGGGCTTCTTGGGCGAGTGCTTCATGATGGCGTGGTACACGGGCTTGGCCATGGAGAGCAGGCGCGTCTGCGTGTGGCTGATGTTGAAGCCCTGCAGGAGGGGAGGAAGCGGTGACACCCTGCGCGTCAGCCAGCAGCAGGGGAAGGAAGAGGACGGTGCCCAAAGCCTACCTGAATGTGCAGCTCGAGGGGCACGGGGCGCACGTTGGGGTGGAAGTTGAAGGTGGACGTGGCGCTGCAGCCCAGCCAGTGGGCCACGTCCTTGGCGTTGGAGAGGGAGGAGCTGAGGGCCACGATGCGGATGGGCCGCTCGATTTGGGACGAGATGTAGCGCATGCGGGAGCAGATGACCTCCAGCACCGGCTGCAGGAGGGGCAGGAGGGGACCGC